AACATTAAAGTGAAAGACTGCGGATCCTACTTTATTTACAAACTGAAAAAGCCACCTACTTGTCCTCTGCGCTACTGTGGCACAGACTAAATGCTATAAGCAAGTTATTCTGCAAAGTGAAAGGATTCACAAATCGATTTATTGGCACGCACATGTACATCAATGATAACAGGGACTTAAAATATTTCATATGATCCACTTTTTATGATTAGTGTTAAACAGTGAGTAGTTTCAACACAAGAGTACCTTTGGACTGCTTAGTTTGATCTTCCAGGTAAGAGTGCTCCTGAGAAGTTGTGACTGCAAGTAATCAGTAATAGTGACTGACGTTTCTATAACCTTAGCGGAAATCATCATCAGAGTCGACTGAACAATAGTTGTTTATCCGAGTAATAGAACAGACTCCCCCCCCCCCCCCCGTCCCCCAGCTAATGTCAACAACTATAGGCATTAGTAAGCTTCCAAATAATCATAATATCTCTATCTATTCCAATCGAGGTGCTTCACTATGTAAGTTTTAGGCACTCTTGATGTTTAATCAGGTCGTTAGAAACTAAAGCAGCTTAGGTGTGTTGTTGATAGAGACTGTAAATAATTTCTAGAATTGCATAATTGTTAGTCACTGTTACATTGATACTCAAACTTTCTGATGACGTATATGGAAAACTAGAACATTCTATTAGGCTGTGTAATTATGATGTATTTCTACCACAATAGTTGTGTTGTAAGCTTCGAATTCCGGAATGTTTTGAAGTACTGACTGTAAATATATGAAAATCATGTATGCGCACTGTGGTGAAGAAACAAATATAAGAGATCCTCGCAGTTATGAACACTACTAAACTAGTACTTGAAATAAGACCTGAAAAAAATTCAGGCCCGTGCGGAATTTGAACCCATGACCTCTGCGATGCCGGCGCAGCGCTCTACCAACAACTGAGCCAACAGGCCAACTGGAAGCTGGTCATTATGTTGGATCTCTTATATTCGTTTCTTCACCACAGTGTATATATGATTTTCATATATTTGCAGTCATTATTCACCACTTGGAAGGTTTATTCGGATCCAACATAATAATCAGTATCTAGTTGGCTTGATAGCTCAGTTGTTAGAGCGCTGCACTGGTATCGTAAAGATCATAGGTTCAAATCCCGTGAGGGCCTGATTTTTTTTCAGGTCTTATGTCAACTACTAGTTCAGTAGTGTTCATAGCTGAGAGGGTCGCTTATATTCGTTTTGAAATGCGTTGTGAATGTATATAAGGACTCAGTCAGTTAGGAGTAATATTTTTTTTTTGTCGGAAAAGATCAACTATCTAGGGAGCTCTAACAAAAGATAGCTCCGTACCGTGATATACTTCAGAGATTGTGTATTTTGAGGTGATTTGGAGGCAAGGGTGAGTCTTTGGTATCAGTAGAGAGCAAAGTTATAGTTTATAGTGGGCTTAAGTAAGTTTTTAAATAACAATTATTGTATTGCCTATAGGAGTAGGTCATGAGAAAGAATTATTACAAGTTGTTTAATAAAATAGTTTAAAATTGTAGGAGTATAGTATTCCTTATTTTGATTAAATCATACCTTTACAGGTGAATCTTGTAGGAAAACGTGTTGCTAGTAGAAAATGCTGTCCATGCCAGTAACTCTTCTACACGCCATTCCAGCGAAAAACTAAACACCAGAAAGAGGCCCGGAATGACGACCAGTTAAAACCTAATTTAATAATCTTTTCAGGCTTATTTGCGTGTATGCAACCGGTAACAGAGAAGGTGTAATCTGTTACTCTGGTTGTTTTAGTTATAACTGACAATGAGCCTAAGACAAATAGCACGTCTAAGTAATCAGAGGTTTACTTTTCTTTGCTGTACTTTAGAAAATATAAATTGACTTTCCCAAAGGCCAAACCCTCTTATCGCCTGCTATTCAAATTCTCTACATGTAATAATGAATTATCACTTTCCAGATGTCAGTAAACAAAACCGATTCCACTTTATCTTTTTGTTGTCGTTAAAGGTACTATCGCTCGTGTTATTGAAGTGCAAAGTTCATCGTATTCCTTCAAATGAATAATCGATAATCTTCGGAAGGGTTTCCGAACTTTAGGAAGAGAGAGGTTGATTTGTTGAGATATCTCTTCCTTTAGTGAGACATAAATCGCCATCTGGTACCTTTTAAATATATTAATATTTTCTAGGTTTGATTGGACTCTCGACTCTTTAAATGAGCTTTCCTCTAAAATTTATGACGAAGAATTTCTGAGAGAAACAGGTTCGTTGATCAATTCTCCCTTTAGTCAATTATTGATAGAAAAGATATTTTCAAGAAATCCTACAGAACTGGTATCTCTGAGACAAAATTAAACGATACAATCGACTCGTTATCAACGTATCCCGGGCAGTAATAAACTATCAGACTTAAAAAGCGCTAAAAACATTTATTCTTAAAAGCAATAATTACAATTATTTTAAAAATTAATACTTAAATTTGTATCCGATCCTTGTTATGAAGCAGAGGGACGACAAAAGAAATACCATTGACGACACACCACAAATGGTTCAGTGTTCTGTGTCACACAACTCTCTAAGGGGTGGTGCCGTTTCGTGGCAGCTGTAGGAACTAGAACTCCAACAACCTGTGTTGATAGTTATAAATGTGGTAAAGCCAACCCAGGCTGGTTAACCCTTTGACTCCCGGACGCGATTAACCTGTTACTTCTCCCAACAAAATCCATTCATTATCCAGGTAATGAGAATACCCAAACTTATTAGGAAGAGGTTGTTTACTTGATCTAACATCAAACTCTCTGAGCACCTTAAAGGGAGAATCAACAATCAGATCTTGGAGGTTAAAGGGTTAACTTGTGCTACTCCCGCAATGGAAGATGGGGAATTTAACAGGAGGATCTACTTTAAACATAAAATTAAAGGCTGTTGCTACCGATCAGTTCAGATTTAAGTAGAAAACTCTGGATCCTACCATTTATATTAACTTTTCCTCCCACCAATTTGTGACCTGCGCCATTGTGATACAGACTGACGTTGGGGAAAATAACCCCACGTAAAAAGGGCATTTATGAACCGCTATCTAAGTAGACACCTATCACAAATTTAAAAAATTTTATTTCTCATCATAATAATTACTTCCATTGTTTTGACTCTAATTGTAATTGTAAATTGCTGACCCATGCGAGATAACCGGTATGGCTGAATGGTAACCATCCTATAAGTCCTAAGGATTGGTCCGCTTTGCCACGACTAAAGTACTTTGCCAGTGTTACTATAAGATTTCTGAAAAAAATTATGATATCAGCTATATGTACAAAATTGTTTTGAACAAGCTGTGAACTGTGCTTGGGTGGTCCAGATTAAATTTGAAGCAAATAACTGCACGTAATGAGAGGATTCATATATAAATGCGTGCAGGTAGATGTGCATCCTCCCCTCAGTCCTCTCTTCATTAACATGACGCGAGAGAATTTATTAGATACTCAGATCTTCTTTGAAAGTCAAATCTTTTTCTAGGGTCAAATTAGCAGTTCGAGCGCACGGGGACAAATTAGACTTAGAACATAGCATCCCATTGAACATGGCACGTTACCTAATTTAAATAGCGCTTTGATACATATGACCCTATTACAATATAAAAAGAAAAGTAACACAAATCTTTAAATAATTTACCGGCGTTACTGTCTTGTCGCCCTTTCTATTATCATCTCATGTCTCGGGAAGAGCCAAAATCATTTCACCTAGGTTTCTTGCGCTCTTGGTTATCTGCTTGCAGGTTCTCATAGCTTCTAAAACCGTAGAATATTTCTTTGTTTGAAAATGTAAATTTCCACCACTGACGGTTATGAATTTGACAGCGAGAGTGAAAGGCTTGAACAAATCAAATATTTCGTATTTGATTAACACAGTTATGGCTGAGTTTAAATGTTTACGTAATTCAAGTTACCTAGGGCTCGTTTACACCTGAAATTTTAAAGGAGCCATTGATCTTCTGTTCTTTAGCCAGCGGTTACAACAAAGTTAAGCTGCTGTGCTGCAGGGACTGCATTTCAAGCTATCAAAAGTGAGCCAAACGTTTCATTCAAACGCAGAAAGCTTTGAACAAAGTCAAAGAGGCTTAACAGCTGACAAAGAGAACACATTTACCTACTTCAAGTAACACACTTGTATGAATAAAGACTGCTAGTGATTCTCTTACTAAAACAGGTGCCGAAATAATAGTTCGTATGAAAGACCAGATCTTTGTTTGTGAAAGATAACTTTCTCCTAAGCTTAAAGAAATAAAAAAAAAAGGTGAAGTAGCTGACGCCTGCAAGGTATTTCACCGGCTTAATTTGGATTGAGAGGGAAGCAAAGGGGGTTAATAATCTCGAACTAATGAAGGTTGATAAAGTTATCAGAATTTGAAAATAAAGTATATAAATAGGAATTGTGTCCACAAATAAAATGACTTTCTCTTCCTAGTAACAGAGCATCAACAAAAGCACGGAACTTTTTCTCTATTTAAACTTGCCGTGCGGAGAACAAGCTTTGAACCTGTTCCTTTTTCAGACACCTCATTAATTACTTCAAGCTACATAATAATAATAATAATAATTACTCAACTCAACAGTATCCCTAGGGAGACCAATGACATTTAGACATCAATTCTGCACACTCTGTAGATCTTCTTCGAGGCAAATGGGCAGCCCTACCCAGACAGGCGAGGCATATTCTAAAACAGGTCTAATCTTAGTGATGTAAGTTGTAAGACCAATGTCCCTAGGGAGATGGGCTGTTCTACAGACCCTGAGATAGTGGATCCGTTTACACGCTTTGCTGACAATACTTGAGACATGTGTAGTCCACTTGAGATCGTTCTGTACATATACACCCAGTAGTTTAAACTCTGAAACCCTCTCCAGTTCAGTAGGCCCTATATTAATAGGAGTAGGAATTTGACAGGCCTTTTTGAAGGTGATCCACATATCTTTGGTCTTTTTAACATTCAGCTCCATTTTATTCTGCACAGCCCATCTTTCCAAGTGAGTCACAAGCATCCTGCATTTGACTGACAGAGTCCTTAAAAACAAGTTCGTATTGGGTGCAGTCATCAGCGTACTTGCAAGTAGATACAGGTATTCCCCTGGGGATGCAGTCCTCAATATCGTTGACATGCATATTAAAAAGTGTAGGAGAAATGACACCGCCCTGGGGTACACCAGCAATCACCTCACCATGTCTGGAGAGGACTCCCGGAAGCTTAACCTGCTGTATTCTGCCTGATAGGTAGCTCTGTGTCCATTTCCAAAAGCTCATGGTGATGCCCATGCCCGCGAGTTTAGTCAACAGAACGCCATGATCCACCAGTTCGAAGGCTTTTCGGAAGTCTATGAAGACCACATGCACGCCATTGTATAGACTTCCAGAATCTGTAGCGTTATACCAGTCTAGTACATCCTTCATTCCATGTCCACTGGCTTCAGTGACGACAAAGTAAGGGTTAAAAAAGTTCATATTTTAATCTTCTGGGAATAACAGTTACACCTATTCCTTTAGTCGATCACCATGAGGTCAAAAAATTCTAAAAACCATCGTAGTGCAATCATAACACTGTTACAATTATCTCATTAGCAGGATATTTCGCATGCTGTTCAATCGATCGAACCTATTTTAATTAACACATTTTCAATGAATTTTATTTACTTTAATCAGATCGAATGCCGCCTAAACTAAATTCTGAGCCAATCGAAGCTCCTGCAAGGCACAAAGTCGCAAAGAAAATCCACATCTCCTTATTGTATGATTAGAACTCTCTGCATACAAAAGAAGTAAACAAACATCAAAATCTTTGCAGAAGTCACCAGCGATGATCCTACATAGCGACTCAAATTAGTCTTTACCATGGCTTCTTCCTCAAAATTTTACTTCTTGGTCGTCCTGTTGTCTTTATTGACAGCTGAAGTTGCCGGTGAAGAAGGTGAGTTATACTTTCATTTCCTTCGAGCTGATATAAAATCATTACAGTTCAACTAAGTTAGACGAACATTCGATTTCATATTCGTTATTTTTTTTTAGGTAACATAGTTCACCAGAATTGAGACCATCCAGCCTAACTTACTCATCAAAACACTTTCCATAGATATATAGGTAACATAGTTCACCAGAATTGAGACCATCCAGCCTAACTTACTCATCAAAACTCTTAGATAATTGTTGGAAAATTTTGTTGTCACATGAACGATAAGCCAAAGGCCTACGGGTTGATCCTTGGTTAATAATAACAACACATTTTTTTTTTCTGTTTAGTGTTGTTAAAACAACACAAATTCTAAGCCGCCAATAGCAGCCCACGCATAAAAAATTCAGGTCTTCCAACTGTATGATTAAAATTAAAACGGACTCCTGGTTAGTTTTGTTACAGTGCAAGGACAAGAGAAACTAGTGGGCGACAAAACTCCCCGCTATCGAGAGGCAACAGGACTCTTTTTAGGTCTTCTCTTCTTGTTCTTCTCTTTACGCTAATCACCCTGAGCGAGTTTCTCTCTCTACGGGTAATTAAGCAAAAGTTTAAAGTTCACATGAGGCATGGACTTAATTTCTCGTCCACATGAATTGAACTAACTAGTGAGATCGCCAAATCAAGGAAAAGCCCTCTCAATCAAAACAAAAAAATTCAGAGGGTTTAACTCAGACTGGCTTCTTATAATAAAGATCAACGCTGGAATGTTGCTTCTTTCAAATCAGGCCATCACCCGATTATATCAAATTACCGGTATGCTAAAAATTCCCAATCGATTTTTCAAAGAAACAGAGATATGTCTCTTCATTGATGCACATTAGCAAAAACGAATTCAAAATATTGTATTCAATATCAAGTAAAATATGGGTCGAAAATTCCCTAGACGCGTTAGAAATGGTTTTAACTTCAAATAATTCTCATATCTAATGAAATACGCGATTCAGTGTGCGGTGCTCCAATTTTCTTAATCGTAAACTATATCCATACTGCTATAGTGTTGTAACTAAATTGAATTTATGATTGTAATAGAACCGAGTGAAGTCTAATTTCGCTCACTCATGAGTATAATTGAAGATCGAATTGAATGACGCAAAGTCCTGTTACCGATTCATCATAACCATTACAATTTAAGAAGAAAACAAATACATTTACATTTACTTGAGAAAATATCTTCGGTAGAGACACTGTTTTGTGGGGTAAGTGATTGTTGCTACGGTTATTGCAATCAACTCTGTGATTGGGGGATTTGCAGGAGTGGACTTAATGTGATTAGCTGCTTTAACTGTCCGATTACAGGTGTCAAATTGGCTGTCCGATACAGTCGATTGTCCGATTGCCCTGTCCGATTACAACTCTAAAGATTAATTAGTGCTAAAATAAAGCAGTTAAAGGACCAAAATCATTTGAGGACATTATAATGGCTATAGCTGGTCTTGGAGGAGAGAGAGGCGAAACTGTTATGTTTTGTTATTTATACAACTCATAAGTTTCATCACTCCACTGCCTTTGCTTAGTCCCTAAAAAACGCAACTGGTTCTTTAACTTTCTAGATGTAAACCATAAATGGTGCTAATCAAATCCGATTCAATTTCTCACAGATTTCTGTCGCAAGATGGAATTTACATCTTCTCTTTCTTTCCCTGGCAAAAGGCTCATAAACCACTTGATACGAACCGTGGAATCCCCTGTGCAAGACTTCTGCTCAGATCTATGCTACATGGAACCCAAATGCGTCAGCTATAACGAATAAGTGGCCAGCGGATATCCAGTAATCACAAAATGCGAACTGAATAATTCCACACACAATGAACATTAGGGAGTTTCCTTGCATGGGTACTCACGTCCCGTTCGTTACTCCCTTTTGGCAATTTTTTTTTTTTTTTTTTTTTTTTTTTTGTACGTGTAACTTCTCGTTTATTACTTTTGTAACTCAGTAGAATGCCAATAAAATTAATTAAAAAAAAAAAAAAAAAAAAAAAAAAAAAAAAAAACATCCTCAGGATCTCAAGTCTTAGACAAACTACAGATATAAAGGAACAATGGTGAGTACATTCTTATCCTGTTTGTGCTTTTCTTTTATCCTTGGTTTTGGTTTGGTTGGTTGGTATCCTATCATGGCCAAGCGAATAACATTACTTGTCATGTGGTAGATTAGTATGTCAAGATGGCTCAACCTCGGGTTGTTTGGCTTGTAAATGTTTCGATGGTAATTTGTTTCGCTTTCATGTTGTTTGGCTGGTTGCGCAATGTTTGTTTGCAATTGGTTTGTATGGTTGACGAGTTGCGTGGCTGGTTGTTTGGTTGATTTGATCTCATGTGACATTTCAAAGTATCATTACCACTTACCACTTTAATTGGCATATATCTGCTTTTAAACCTCGTTTTCACACCAGAATACTTGTGGACAGACTCCTTGCCAACATGATGGCACCTGTCAGACAGGATTTACAGACAAAGGTTACAGATGCCTTTGTCCACCTGAAAACAAGGGCACCAATTGCGAGGGAAGAAACGATCACAGTTATTAATGTAACTCCAAAAACTGACAAATTTCCGAATAATTGAACAGGATCATGACTTTTCCATTAATTCCATGTTTATTTTTACCAAAGTTGGTAATAAAATAATTATAAGTCGAACATTCAGACGCGATAAATCTTGCGATGTGGTTATCTTTTTTGCGCGGGATGCATTTTTTGATCTTTCACATTTTGAAAGTATTTGGATCAAATAGACCAATAGAACTTGAAGGTTTAAGTTTCTGTTATCCTAACAATATGGTATAATATTCCCTAAGAGACCTTATCCCTTTTTATTGAGCACAGCGGAAAACAACTATTTGTGTCATTTGCGCTAATGTCCACATAGAACTGACAGCTGCCGAGAGCTTTGTTTGATATATTTTCGTGATACGCTTTCCTTCATAGCAATAGGTCGGTTTGGGCTGCTAAGTCCACTGCTGGGAGCTGGTGATCAACTTTAAACTTTTAGCACACGTGCGGGGTAGAAATAGAAGACCGTAATCTTGAATTGACTTGCTTGACGTTCGGTAAAGGTGACTGGAAAACTGGCAATCGTTTTCCCTCGTTCGATTCATTTATGAGTGCAATATTATTTCATATATCACTTCCATTCTCTTCGCTGATGGAGAACGAATAAAAGTTACAAATAAATTAAGTAAGGTAAACAGCCACGTTTAACCTCCACCCATGACTGAAACTCATTTTTGTAAAATTAAAGGGTATTTAACGAAGATTTTTAAGCGCATCCTACTCAGAAAGTTGGATATAAGATGCAAAACACAAACAACTTCGACCACCAGTTAAGTCAATTAAAAAATCCTACTTTCCCAACTCTCTTCTCTCAATAACATGCACATATTACACTGTTAAGTTAACTTCCACTGTAGTTTAGCAAACGGAATTTGATGTCTTTTCATTGAACGGAGGTAGATTTTTACCGCTCTCAACCATCTCAGAGAATTTCGTTTTACCTTAGTACATTGCTGGAACATGGACGAGTGTTTTATAAGTTCTAAAGAAAGCTATTGACGCAAAAGTCTTTAAGGACTAGTTTAAAATACTCTCTTCAAAAATTTCATCAAAAACTTAATGACCCAGTATGATTGGATTATTGGAAAAATTTGCATAAATGTTGCGTACAACTTGTAAAGTTTCTCTGGTTTGAAAATTTATGGCGTTGCAACGTTCGCTCGTTTGCCATTTATCAATAATAACTTTGATTTGGAAAGATCCTTCTTAATCTTTTTCGTCGACTTCAAATGCCAAGATCAAAACTCTTTACAGAGGATCCTCTGAAGAAATAGTTTTTGCCGTGTTATTTCTGGAAAGAACCTCATTTATACTCACAAAGGCTGGGTGTACATATCAGGTGGCATCTGTAAACAATTAAAAAAGAAATGATAACTTGACTACTCTCCATCTGAGATGTATAACGTTCAACTTTCAAATTAACTTATCTTCCGGGAAGGGTCGATTTATCACGTTTATACTGAATTTATCAGTAAAAACATGTTTAATCTGCTGCGTGATGTCAGGAAACAATGGTACGTCATATTGCGTATTAGCATAAATTACCTCGACTCGGGGGAAAACAAAACTAACTGTTTCCCTCGAAACCATACATTTAGTGTAGCAAATGCAATTCTTTTTATAACTTCTCCACTATGACTTAGGTAAGACACTTTAAAAAGATTGACAGATCGCTTCTCTTTACGGTTTTTGTACCATCTCCCCTAAAATTATATCGCTCCGGAGAATTCATGGGAATGCCTTGCGCGATTTTATGCTATTCATCACAATCATAAAGAGATGAAATAAAGAAGCCAGAGTATATGCTGGTCTACTTTCATTTCTTTTCAATTTCTATTTAATCTTGCTTTAAGTTTTTGTTCGTAAGTAGATTTTGGTAACTCGATCTGTTTCAATTTTCCATCACATTTTTTACAACTTTTCATACAGTAGTTAGCTTTCGG